GAAATAATTAACCAACGTACCCACATATTTTTAGAGTAGAATTCTCGTAAATTAAAGTTTATTCAACGTTAACCTCTTACTTCTTTTCCTATTAATATTATTTTAAATTGGTTGCTGTACGAACACTTCTCACACCGACTGTAAAAGTACCTGAAAGGATCTGGACCAATATTTTCAACCCTAGCCTCAATAATACACTTAAATACCAGTACGAGTAACACTCGTACAGAATGCGATAAAATATTCGAACGTATAAACACACAAAACGGATTTAGTATGCAACCCAATAAATCTTCTCGTTCGACTTAAACAGATGAATGTTTTTGTACGGGAAGAACGCAACGAACAAGACAAAATAAATCCGTCCATAAATCACCGCGCCACCGAACGTGAATTATCTTCTTATTAATCGTTGGTAACACGTTACGAGATCATGGAAGGAAAGCGACGGAAACGAAGTTAGGGAAACGCGATAAAAATGGACAAAGGATAATCGATACGGAAGCGTTGTACTACGTCGAGACGTCTTCCACGCGTTCGACGTGCCAGCAGACGAACTTGGCGATGTTCGCGGCTGTTTTCACGGGAAACGAGAATATCTGTGGCGGGCCAGAAGCGTCAGCCAAGATTATGTAACAAACAAGGAAGGTGGCCGTCAACCAGCGGCCGCCGATTTGCTCTCGACGCGAACGTCTGTCGAAATTACGTGCAGCACGCCGTCGGTAGAGTGTCAGTGGTGCTCCATCATCGGGGACATTGACATTGAAATGGTCTGCCTTCGGACAATGGCTGAATAAGGATGGCTTTCGTCGCGGCCCGTTGAAGATTTACGGTTCTGTTTACGAACAACAGAGGAACCGTGCCACGGTGATACGCTTGGAAAAACTGGACGACAAATATTTGCACTCGCTGGCCCTGGTGCCAGTCACGCGATAAAATCGTTGGTCTCGGCGCGGCTAAACCGTTCGCTTAATACGTTTATTGCGGTATTTAAAGCGGTGCTTCAGGGACTGCGATCCGAGCGAACGTTTTCACGCTGTTCTGGCCCTTGTGACGCAAATTCCTCCGCAAACGAACCCATCAAACACCGCTCTTGACGTTTTTGGTACAAGGATCATTGGTATTGTCTAGGCACTTTTCAAAAATTCGTCCAGTTGAATTGTGAGGAATTATCATGTTTTACGTAATGGGTTAGTACTTCGATTTATTAAGGGGGGTATCCTGAATTAGGAGGTCTAAAAAAAAAAACGATTTCTCGCGAATTTCGTTCAGAATGGAAAAAAAATAATTAATTCTATCGAACATTTCTCTTCTACGTGTGACTAAACAATTTCATACAAACAGAAATTGTAAACAACTTTTTTGTCAAGTTAAAGTGATATTTTTCACCCAAAGAACTCGTTCTTATTTTTCAAACTTTCAGTAATTTCACATTTCACCACTTTTGCGGGTCTTTCTCAGTTCGCATAGAAGAAACATGTACGAAAATGAAAATTTCTTTTGGTTTTTTTTTTTTTTTTGTGTCAGACCAAAATTGCGACCTGTATCTTTCCCACCGATAGGAGGTCTTAATTGTGAGGTGCTCTACAAATGTGCGTCGCAGTCGACTCAATTTGAACATTTCTTGTTGAAAAAATTTGTACAGACAAAGTTCGATAGAATTAATTATTTTTTTTCCGTCGTAAAAAAATTCACGTAAAATCGCTTTTTCTCAGACCTCCTAATTCAGGATAGCCACTTAATACAATAGAGAAATCGTATGTTTCGAAGCATTGGACCGACGAAATCAATCGTTAACACAGCTAAGCGTTTCGTGCTGTACACGATTCGATCCGTGTTTAATATTTACATGAAAAATAAACCCACGAACGTTCAGGCTCGCGACTTCGGTTGAGAAAGCCGGCCGCTCGACGATTCTCGTTAAAGCGGAGTGTCGGAAAGTGTATGAAACAGAGCCGTGGATAAAAATAACAAACAAGCGAGGAAAAGTAATTTCTCCCGTCCATTGGCGTAACATTTCTCGTTAGCCGGTGCCAGCCAACGGACGTTACGTAATTGAGACAGTGACGATTATTCATCGCACGGAGAAATGAAATTTTTCGCGGATAGAGGTTAACTACTGCTTCACGGCTCGATTCTCGATTAGAAAAAACTACGAACGTTCGCATTGTCGTCGACAATTACGCCGCGCTCCTCTTCCGCGAAAACAATACAGCTTCATCGAAACCGATCGATTCTCAAGCGTATCGATTATCGATATACATTTCCGTGCTCGCTGCCATCGACTGGCGTTCACCGCGCGTAGGAACGACGCGGAAAATTAAATTAAAATCTGGAGGAAGAAATATTACTCTGATCGGTTTGGGAAAAATCAATTGAATTCAATTTTTTTGTTAAATTTAAATTCGATAAATTGCGAATGAAAAATAACGGTTGGTGTTAATGGTTTCTAAATATTCGAAAATAAAGAGACCTCGGATTAAAATCTAGCGGAAGAAATATTACTCGGGTGAATGTTACTCTGATCGGTTTGGAAAATCCAGTTGAATTCAATTTTTTTGTTAAATTTAAATTCGATTAATTGCGAATGAAAAATAACGGTTAATGGTCAGGGTTTTCCAAATATTCGAAACTAAAGAGACCTCGAGGGAAGCTTCTTTGAACGAAGATGCATTCAAAGCTGTGACCTTGAAGAAAACTCCGTCGGATATAGTGGCGCTTTGAAACGACCTCTGATATTTTTTCTTACTATTCACAGGAAGTGAAATGCCGAGGGTGATCCCGAGGGAACGGATATCCTCTATATCTGTATAAATATATTTAAATTATTAGACTGCGGATCTTAATAAAATATTGTCCCTACAAAAATTGAACCTAAATAGGAATTTATTTTACTCTGAAAAAATATTATAATATGAACTTTACTCTCGATCTTTTTTATATTCTTGCATATTGTTTGGATTTCGTAGGTACCTGCACATACAAATTTTCTATAAATGCATGAAGATCCGCAGTCTATTAATTATATAGAATATTCAGAAGAAGAGCTGTATCGATGAATGTTTTTAGAAAATATTTGTATATAATAATATATCCATTATGCGCGGAAATTAATTCTGTAACTTCACAATTTAATTCTTCATAAGTATAATTTAAAACTATTTACCCACCATTTCGTTACATCAAAGTATAATTACAGATTTATCATTACAGAATTAATTTCTGCACCTGATAACATAATTTCTAACGAAGTTTGTGTGAGTATACCGGTTCTTTGAAGCGTGAATTTTGAGGTCAATTTCATTGAGAGATGGATTTATAGCGGTCGGAGGGATACGATCATTTTGGATATTCCCATTGGTCTGATAGGGAAGGTAGGTATGTAGGCTTCGTATTGATCACCACGTTGAAGCGACCTTTAACATCCCCTCTCCTCGGTTACCTCAGCCGTTGGATAGAGCGAGATGGCACGAGGAGAAGGGAGGCCGAGGGGAATCCTGACGCGACCTACAACAACCAGAGGCAGGCGCACAGCTGATTTCGTAACAGCCAAGCGACACTCCCGGAGTTCCGCTGTTCTCCGGAAATGCTTCATGACCTATATAATTTCAAGGAATCGAAGAAACGACGCGGAACTGAACCGGCATGGTACCACCAATTTCGAAAACTTCCAGGATCCCTCCACTCTCGCGATTTTAATAGTAGATTTCAATTTAATTTGAATTTAAGTTATAGACTCAAGCATGAACCATTCGAGTCTTGATGTAGTGGAAACGAACGAAACACGATTTTAAAAATTGTATCAATGTCCAAATTAATTTTCGTACCTAACAAATCTGTTATAACTAGAATAATCTAGAACAATAGCATGCTTACAATAAGACTAGGGAATTTTTTTTTTTTTTTTTTTTGAACATGGAATATTTTAAGTTAAAAAATTCCTTCGATAGGAATGGAATAATTCATCAGATAAGAAGATTGTTATCAGACAACATCAGTTTTAAGGTCTCGGATGTTACAGCGGGACGACAGAATTAGATGAATAAAGACGTCTAAAGCAGATTACGTCTTTTTGCACGTATGTTGAGTCACGATCGACCAACACGACGTCATAATCCTCTAAAGAAACTCAGGTGTGAATAGGGCATCCGTTATTTATAGATGGTTACATTCACACTTGTACAATGTCCGTTGAAAATGTTATAAACGTAAACGTGAACGTAAACAGATTTATAGGTTAGGTCCCATTTTCACAACATTGGTATTATTCCATGTTTATTTTGTCTATTAGACTCCCTTTCAAATTAATATTTATATATTTCATAATTTATATAACGATATAATATAGAAGCAATGATACCAGTGGTTAAGTTGTTAAAAACAAAAAAAATATATATATATATATACATGTCGAATTGAGTAACCTTCTCCTTTTCGAAGTCGATTAATAAGAATTTATTTTGGTTGCCCTGAAAATTTCCAGAATTCCCGATCGTGAATCATAGTTATTTCCCGGTTCAACGAACTCAAGTATTGATTGCTTTTTACACGAACGATAAAAGAACGATTCCAGCTGAACTTCACGAACGGTGATTCACGAGATCGAGAGCAGACCTTGTGCTCTGTTGGAGGACGGTGTGCGATCATTTGGTTCAACGTGGTACAGTTTATGACGAGTCTGACACAAACCGCCTTTTACTACTCGTGTCAAGATTTCTAGAACGACCGTGGTGAATTTTAACTAACGTACTCCTTCCTTTTAAAAAGCTGTTTCAATCTAACCTAACAATTATAGAATTCGGTATAGCAATAGAATAAGTAAAAAGCGTACCCAAAATTCCTACCACGGTTCTCAAACAATCGAATAGTTATTTTTCTTCTTCATCGATGCTTTGTTTCGAGTCCATTGACTTCGCTATTCCGATCGTATAACGAAATCGATTATCGATTACGTCGTACTGTAGCGACGACAGTAAAACGCAGCAAATATTTTGTCTTACCTCGTCACTGACGTTGAAGCACAGAGGAAATACAGTAGACGTAATACTGTAAACATAGAACTTGCATCATTATCTCCTGTTACAGCAAAGTTCGTGATCCTTGGTTGTAAGAAATTCTATTGTTCCGTCGTCCACAGAATAGTTCAACACTCGACAGAACCAAAACACTAACGAAACACTCGATTGTCCGCACACTGGTGGTCTAAACTTAATCTCGCGAAATTTTTACGATCCAGAAAGCTTCGATATCCCTTGAAAACCTTTCTAACCGAATTACACTAACTCTGCTTCTGATCTCATCGATTCGACTATAGATAACAACTCTCAGACATCGTTATCTCAAAATCGATCGTATCACGGAATAATAATAAGAAAGAACATGTACTTATTATCAATTATAAGTTAAGATCTCCTTACATTTTCAATCTTACCGTTGCTTCATTTATCGATACTCACTGCTACCACTCTGCTAACGTTGCGCCTAAAAATTACTAGTAACTCGATCGATTATTTCCATTCGAGAGAATCAGGTCCGAATTCGATACATTTATTTTATTCAACTTCTTGACTGCGCCATTACGAAACGGGACACAAAGAACATAAAATATTAGGTTGTCTTATTTGCACTCAATTATTTTGTGCGGTCTTTATATAAATAGACAATCTAATTTCTTAGATATTGATGTAACAGTAATGGAGCAAAATGAATCGGACACAATTCAATAATGCAACATTAGACGTAAAATATTAAGTACTATTATATATATATATGTATATGATATACATATATGTATGATATATGTATATATAAATATTAATATATTATATATAAATATATATATTATTATAAAATTAAGTAATATTAAGTATTACTTAATATAAGTAAGTATTACTTATTAATGTAACAAAAGAAACTTTTGGGACAGCCTAATATATACCCAAGTTTACCCAACACGTCAGTCATGCCACGACGGACGAGCGAATTTCGACTGCGTTACAACCAAACCCTATTAATGATTTTCTGTATATATTCATTCGTGGTTAAGGGTTTTCGTCGCAAAAATAGTTTCTTTATTCAGGAAGTTTCCGTTTCAGGAAGGAAGAGGTACGTATTCGATTTGTCCCCTCCTATTAGAATGTTCCTATATTTGGTATTACGTGAATAATGTAAGGAACAAGGATAATTAGGGCAAATAGACGTAAAAAAGTTGAGGTAGCAACCGTGGAGTCCTCGTAGAAACAACGGAACAGAGGAACGTGGCTGGACCGCGAACCGTCCCTGGGAGAGGATCGAGGGGTGTGGGGAGTCTATGTACAAAGGAGGGACGTGATTGGCCGAGGCAGAGAGGAGAGGTTCTCGGCTGTCGCGAAGCGAGTTGATTCCGCGCCACTTCGTTTCCGACTCGTGTCTGCGTACGACGTGCCCGAGGACTAACCCAGAACGCATCCTTTGTCTTTCTTTAGTCTGCTAAAGGTAAGATAAACTTTCTCTCTTCTCACGACGTTCTTAATATTCTTATCCGCGAGCAACGTTTCATTTCGACCAGTGAACATTCCGTGAAATTTCTGTCAATCGAAACGGAAAATCCGTGAGTCGTAGATCGTTCGACATCCTTCGGCGATTCTTTACAGAAAACTCGCGTCGTTCGAGTGTCAGACGTTCGTGTTAAAGAAATTAAACGCACGCGAATAATCTACGCGAACGGGTAGGTCGATTGTTGCGATTGTTGGTCGTGAAAATCGGCATGGTTACTGTGATTTGTTTGTACGACTCGGTCTTTGAAATTTAGTCGAGTGAGAGTTAATTCCTGTGGAGAATGGTCGCGTAGTCAAGTAATGATTCATCGTAACGTCGATCATCGATTGTGCCTTTGGCGGTTGTATGTTGCGGCGTTTGGTCGCTATGCCGGTTTTGTAGGTTAGAGATCGTCCAGGTGTGTTCGTTCGGCGATGATACTGATTCGAATGATTTCTGTAATTTTTAGGGCACGGTTAATACGGTGTTTGGTTCTTTCGATTACTTGCAATTCTACTTAGGTCGAATTTCGAAGTTTCGTTATGTGCAAAATGCCTGAAAAAGTTTTTGGTAGATATTTTATTTTTAACTGCAGAACCTTGCTTTCTATGCTATTGAGATACGTGTTAATTAGCCTCGTCAGTATTTTTAAAAATTAGCGGAAATATGTGCGTGTAATTTATGCTAAGGAAGACGTGCAAAGACAATTATGGAAATTGTTATGAGTCATGTAGTCGTATGTTTTAATAGAATGGTTAACCTATATGTATCTTACATGAATATTTAGTTAATTTAGAATTAAATATACTAGGTTTAGACTAGCCTAAAATCGCAAGATGGCTTCCCCTTGTATTTCAAGGTTAAGCAAGATTATACTAAATAATTTACTTCCTTAATTGCACACCGTGTATAAAATAATTTAATAATTCTAAGTTGGTTCGAAATTTTTATTTTAACTGACAAAATCAAGACTTTGCTTCTATATAAATTTTTAAATATTTAAGAAAGATTCTGATTAGACAACTGAAAATACATTTCAGAATTCGAAAAGGGAGACAATTTCGTAATGTTTCTCCGCATTAATATCGACCACACTTGGAGGGTTTCGGTAATACCGTATTACATCATTGTGGTTCTTCTTCCAGCACGAAACGATCATTATTTCCTGTGACTATTGATTTTTGTTTCGTGAGCAGATTATCGTTTTCAAATATTCTCAATTATATGCTAAATTGCTTTCTTTACAATTTCGATGGAAAACAACACACATTCACATTAATTCATTTATACATAAAAAGATATACGAATATAAAACCTAGAATAGTACTTGCACTTGTCCAAATTAATGTTTCTGAAAATAGTACAAAAATAATATAAAAATCGTAGTTTGCATAATTGTAAAAATTGACAGGAAATATATTACATTTATTTACAATGTACCTGGATGTACATACATACGTACATTATCCATTCATTCAATTCTTCATTACCATAATAATAGAAGTATACGTTAAACCGATTAGTACGTGAATGTGAATCATTCGGTTGACAATTTCCGCTAAATGTATACACGTCGGAATAGACCCGACTGCTATACGATCTTGTTTCCGGTTAATCCTAATCGTTACGCAATTTTACGTTCGACTCACTTTGATCTGGCAGTATCGATTTCGATTATACGAAAATTTATCGAATATGCAAATGGAAAAGGCGCGTTACATCGGATTTCCGTTCTTGAGATCCTGTCAAAAGTAAATTGACAGATTACGGCCAGGCTACGTACAGTAAAACGAGTGGGTGCAGCCTGATTACGTAAGGCCAGGGATGCCCAGTGGCTCTCAAATTTTTCGTCTTCCACGCCAATTTCGTGCAACGGCCAAAATTCAATCTCTTGCATTCGCGTGCAATTTAATATGCCAGCTTATTATTAAAATTAAATTTTCGAGATCTCTTGGCAGTGAATGTTAATTGTCAACGGTCGCGACTGACAACATATATTTTTAACCAACTCGTAAAACTGTCGCGACAGTTTTGACGCTGTCAGGGCGAAACATAACCTCGAATTTATTTAAACTTCGCGTTTACGGTTGAACATTACATTTTCTTGATGTATAACCTCTTTACTGAAATAGTTAATATTGAATAATATTTTCGATATTCTTTGGTTTAGGGAATAATCTCGATTTTGAATAAAGTGTATTCAAAATTGATGTTTTTTTTTTTTTTTTTATGTTCGGATTGATGATCGTACTGCGGGCCAACGAATATCGTACGGTTTATACTGTACAAAGTAATCACGGACAAGATAACGTAGAGTTTCTATTGAGTGATGATAACAATAATAACAGTCTTTATTGCTAGAGGCAGATTTAAGTTAATATCTAGAATTTCCTGTTCTGGTTCGATAGTGTTAGGTGTGGAAATTGATTCTACAGGGTGTCCCAAAAATGTTCGAAGTCCTTGAAGAGGGTGGTTCGGGGGGTGATTTGAAACAACTTTTTCCTTAGCGAAAATGTTGTCCGAGGCTTCGTTAAGAAGATATTAACGGAAAACCCCGGACCAATCAGAGCGCGGAGGCTACGCCTACCATGGGCGGTCTATCGGCGTACGCACGCTCTGATTGGTCGGGGTTTACTTGTTAATATCTCCTCAACGAAGCCTCGGACAACATTTTCGATAAGGAAAAAATTGTTTCAAATCACCTCCCGAACCTCTTTCAAGGTGTTACAACATTTTTAGGACACCCTGTATTGTTTTAACTTGTGCCCTATCAATAGGGCCCTTGTCAAAAGACCTTCGAATTGTGTCGCATATCCCAGAATTGGTTTCAGTGGTCGTCGATAGATGTCGAGATATTAAAATTTGAGGGTTCGAAGACGTGAGTCGGTTCGTGGCTGATCGAAATGCATGGCGTGGATAGGGCGTCTTATTAGCAAGGAAGAGTGCATCGATGCGTTTCTTAGGAGGAACCTCGTTAAGCTAGAAGACCGGAGATTCGTTTGAGCGGCGCGTGCATGCGTTATGGCGTTTGGTAATTTAAAACGGAAATTGATAGTTGGCGGTCTCCCGATCGGGGCTCTGCGTGCAAGGAACGCGTCGTCGCGTCTGGTTGGATCTGTGTGCGCATGTACACAATCGCAGTCGGAATGCACGCCCGTCTGCCTGCTGGTGTCGCTGTTTCTTTGATCGATTCTCCATGAGCGCAACGCGTTACCGGTATCTTTCACGCGATCGCGTCCACCCTTAATGATACATCACTTCAGGTTATTTACTTTTTTCTAGAATACAACCAAGTATCTTTCTGTATTATCAGGTGTAGAAATTAATTCTGACCCTTTCTATTCAATAATTTGTAACTTTGGATTGTCAACCTATTATTTTTATTTAAAAGAGAAAATTAAAGGAAAATTACCACTTGCGAAAATTTAGTAAAACCTTTTCGTGGTCGATACAGATCTCCGATATATGAAGTTAAATATAACCCGAAGGATTAGAATCGAATAACGTGTTTCATCATTCTCTAAGGCCAGATGTGGTTTGTTTGCTCGATCAACGACAGCGCGTATAGTAGCTCATCGCGATTAAAGCTATCATCGTCCAACGTATCGCTGATATCGATTCTCGCCATACATATCACGCTAACGCGTTCCACCTGTGATATTTAACTCTCTTTACTTGCGATGGAACTTTTTGTATTCCGTGAAGAAAAAAAAATGATACGTCAATCTTCCGGATCGGCTATTAATCAATGAAAATGTTACTGATAAATTTAGAGTGATTCAATCGGGCGACGTCGGTTTGATAAAATTAACCGGATTTGTTCCGACCGTAATGAGACTTTATTTTTAAGATTCGATAGATTTTCTATACTTTATTTTTTAAGGGAGCAAGTGTGTTCTTATACTCGATTCGAAGAAACTATTTCTATTACTGGTGAATATAGTTAACCTACTTCGAAAAGGAGGTTACTCAATTTGACATATATATATATATATTTTTATTTTTTTTTTCATTTTTTTTTTCAAGTTTCCTACGTTAATTTGATATCCAATTATTTCTGTACAAGAGGTCATTGAATTTGCAA